TTCACTACTGTATCCCACGCACCAACTGAGTAAGAACTCAATAGATATCAGCTAAATAAATCATCATCTGTGTTTTGACAGTGTTCTTAGGATTTATTAGTTGGACGACTGTTGTGGAATGAAGCAGAGAGCAATATCTGAGACTAAGCTTTCGGGAGTATTAGGATCTGTCTGTCCACGTTCTCACTGCTATTGGATGTACAACATACACCAAAAGACGCTGAAGCCTATAAGAGGAAGTTAAGATTACTAGATGAGGCAGCTTCTCCTCTTTCCCTTGATAACACCATCAGCTGTTAGGACTGACGTGTCATAGAAGGGTAAACTTAATGAGGAGGTAGTAGTGTGGTAATTAACAGCATACCCAAAGGCCTCATTGTGTTGGCGTTCAATTCTCATCTACTCTGCTTAATAGCTCTAAAAATATTAGAAGTCACTATTATTTTATGCAAAAATTGTTTATCCTGATGCTTCAAGGAATTCTACCTTATAAACTTGTTAAAATGTACTGTCGTAAGAGACTGGATAGTTCTCTCTGGGGAGATCTTAAGTTTTCATCAAATTTTCAACATCTATCAGCACTTTCAATACTTCTGGGCATCAAAGATCAAGTAATACTATTATAAATAAATCTGCAAAATACATTCCTTCAGATTGGCCTAACCTCCCATGAGGCCAGCCTGAATCCTAATATTTTGCAAGCTCTTAATATTTCTATGTTTCCTAGTTACCTACAAAAACCAGAGCTACAAAACAATAACTTCACTGTGATTATAATCACCTTTACAAAGCTGAGGTTAAGTGATTTGCCTACTTGACAAAGACAAACCTTACACATAAATTTATATTTTAAAAATCACATTTTAACAGACTCAGAGCCCCATGGTGGCAGGAGGTAACTATACTATATCTATTGTACCCCTGTATTTCTATGTTTGCACATTTCTTGGGCCATGAAATTGAAAGTGAGAAGCATGGCAGATGAGCAAGAAATAATGTGCAAACTGGAACATGTTAAAGGGATCAGGAATGAGACCCTGCAGATAGAGAAGATCAAGGTCTGTTTGAAGGCTGAGGTTGAGGCCCTTGAATCAGTGGAGAGACACCTGAAGGAATACGAGCAGGTGATGGACCTCCTGCTACAAGAGTAGACAGCCCATGTGGAGAAACCCTGACTGATCCAGGCTGACACCAATGTGATGGAAAATACCATCAAATAGTCTGAGAATGACTTAAACAAGCTGCTGGAGACTACCCGGTATCTACATGATGAGCATGAGCCACTGAAGGAACACGCAGATGCCCTGTGTATGACTCCGGGTCTGCAGAGGCCTCCTGGCATTTGTGATGAAGGGGAGAAGCTTTCCTGGGATTACTTTGAGAAGCAGAAAGCAGTGTCAGATAGAACTGCGGGACTCTCCCAATCCCCAAGTCCCTGGTCACTGCAGCCCATGCTGCCCCACAACTTCAAGTATCTAGGAGGCAGGACACCTGGCAGAAAGCCACCTTCAGTATGCAGCCCCCACCTATGAAGGCCTGTGTGTCAGATCATCAGCAAATTCACCAGAATGCACCCATATGCCCTCTGTGCAAAGCCCAGAGCCAGTCCTGGAACCCTAAAAAGCCAAATGGAAGCAGAAAGAGTGAAGAGAGGGAGAATGCAGAGGCCCCCACAGTTCATAACCCCTCCCCTTGGCCAGTGATTGATATCCTGATGCAAAGCAACCCTTCCCCACCTTTACCAAGTCTCCACTTTATTGTGATGGAAGCACAACCCCCCTCTCACTTTGCTCTTATTTCTTTCTGCTGGGGTTTCTGGTTTAGGAAGAGATGTAGTTCAGGTGCTAAAGACAGTCTGATAATCCCTTCTCTCCCTTGGACATTTTTATCCTGTTCTTCTTTGGAGCAAAGCATAGGGCAAAAGGCCCAGATGTGATTCTCTGTCTCTTGTGCCTGAGGGCTGGGGCCTAAGGTCTGAGAGTGAAGGCTCATATCTTGTTTAGTGTGAAGGCTCCAAGGTCCCTGTACTTTTGCCTTAGGATTTAAAGGACAACAGTGTTTTTAAAGACCCAGAGGTAATTTAGACAACCTCTCCTTTTTATATTCATTTTGGAGGACTGGCTGTTATTACAGAGTTCATCAACCCACCCTACCCTCAGTCTCCAGATAAACAAAAATTCTCAGGCACCAGGCTGCGTGTCTGTGGATCCTGAGGTCTGCAGGCCTTTCTCCCATAGTTCCAGTTTTTTGCAAATCAGCAGAAGTTCCCTGTAGTGAAACCAGGGAGCTGGAGCTATACCCATTTCATGAAGTCCTGCCTAACTCACTGCCTAAGTCATGGGGCTAGGGCTGTGTTATGGGGTTGCCTTAGGCTAGGAAGGGCTCTAGGCAGACAGTTGTGTTGCCTTTTGTTTAAAACCATTGCTCTGGCACTTACTCAATTGTATATTAGGGGTCACAGGAGTGGGTTGAGATTCGAGTGAGTGGTTAGGACTTCTCCATTTATCCCTCCTTCTCTGGGTCTTCTCTCTTCTGTAAGGCAGCCGTAGCTCAGGCCAGCTGCTGGCCACCCCCTTTCCTGCAGACAGTGGCCTTCCTTCCCCAAAGAAAAGGCACCAGGGTCCCCAAGCCCTAAAGCTCTCTACTCCATCAAAGCTGGATTTCTAATAAAGTCAGTCTCAGACTTAAGGGACAGGGATGGGGGGCTGGCTGACCGAAGGAGTTTTAGGTCCAGGTCTCAGTCCCTGGCTGGGGAGGAGAGATATTTTCCTTCCTTCCTTAACTGCAGTTTTGAGTTTCCACAGTGTCTGTGTGTTCAAAATATAAGATTTTTTTTACTCTTTGAAAGTAAGAATGTTATGTTTATAAAAATCCTTTTAAATAAACATTCGTTCATTGGGAAAAATCACATTTTGTCAGTAATACTTATGTATCTCTCTCATAAGAATGTGGGTTTTAGAGAATAAAATTACTAAGGTGGAGATCAGCCTCAGGTCCTCAACATAGTCTTATTTCATTAAGTCATACATCTTTTCATGAAATTAAGTCTAAAGGGAAAGTCTCATTCTTTTGCTAAAATATTGGTCTAGCATTTTCTTTTACTATCTTCCCCAGCTAAGGTACTACTTATTAAGCAGCTATATTTATATAATGGGAAGGAAAGTAAAAATGAATCAAAAGTCTAATAAAAAGCAAAATATATTGGTTGTTTCTATTGAAATTTTATGGAAATCAAAGTCAACGATGTGTTTTAAAACAAATGAAAAGCGGTCACTTGGGAATACTTTATTTCTAGATAATATCTAGCAACTAATCACAGTACACCTCCTATACTCTTTTCTAAGGATCTGATCATACTTAGGGCCACTAGTTGTATTCACTCTATAGCATCCTGGTATCTGCATCAAATATTATTAGATTTTCCAATTTCATATTCTCAAATCTTCAATTTCTGATACATTTATACCTCTGTTGCATTTCCTAGATCATATTCTCCTGTTTTATCATATTAGTCCACTAAATTACTCCCTAAAGCATCTTTTAATCAGATGAATAGCATCCATCCAATGTGGCACCTATGTTTTGAACGTAACTAAGATCCACTGACAAAGAATTATGCTTAAGAGGCAAGGAGAAAAGAGGTGAATGAAAATCTTAGGAGAGAAGACAAAAAGAGTCATAAATAATAGAAATATTACTATGTTGACTTTTTTTCCTTATCCAGTCCCAATGCAACATCCAAAGAATACTGGTTACTGAATGTGTAAATACTCTCATCATTACACCGAAGGTTAAGAGCAAATTTCTTTTGAGCTTTTGAATTGCTTCCTTCCTGAAGCAAGAAGACATTCCTGAGTATGGTACTAAGTCTTGTGGGGCAAGTTGCATCAGACTGTAAGTACATAAGCAAACGTGGAAAGAGTAAAATTCCATTAATTAACAATGTTTTCAGACATCTGACTATAAGGAAGGTTTATTGACAAAAAGCTGCATAACTAGGACATTCTAGTGCCTCTGAAATAATTCAGATTATGCAAGACTCATTAAATTCCACCTTATATAAATTCAAAGTAATTCTTATCTTCAATTTTGGACATTCTCTTACAGAACATCAGATATATTTATATTTTGTTAGTGAAAAACAAACTTTACTTTCTAAACTTTGTACATATATCTAAATATCATAGATAAATATATCTATACACTAATAATTTCATTGCACAAATAATTCTGCCAAAACACTTGAGCGTTTTGAATATTTCATGTTATTCTAAAAATAAAAAAAACAAGTGTTAACTTATTTCACTTAAAAATAATAATATAAATTGTTTGAAGAAAAACGTATGTTAGCAATTATGTGACAGTATAAAAGCACATTTATGTGTCTGTAATTTAATTTATGAATGTAATAAAATGTTAAATTATGCACATTCTTTCTAACATATATATGAGGGATTAACCTTTGATTTTTATTTACCTGGAAGGTCATTTAATAAGTGAATTTGCATTATTTAAACTGATTCATCAAACAATGTCTACAATTGCAAAAGTAGTCATGCTATATACAAAATTATCCAGAATTCCTTTTTCCACAGGCTGTTCTTAAAGTTGTCTGAGAATAACCTCAGACAGCACTTGTAAATTTAGATAGCATAAATACTTCCAACATTCAGTTCAGAAATACAAATTGATTTTATAGGGTAACGTTTTATTGAAAAAATAAAGCCCTTCTTTATTTCAAACACTGAAAGACCTAATGTCTTTGTACTATGAATAAAATATTTTTGAAAACTTAAAAAATACCTATAATTTCCCACTTAACAGTAAATATTGCACGCAAAAGACTCTAGCAAAGTTTCTAAATCAGTATTAAAATGACCAGCTGATCTGCAATTTGCATCACTTCACAAAAAAAGATTTGACAGTAAATTACTAGGTCTATACGTGCATGCAACAGCTTCATATGTTCAGAGTCAAAAAGTAAAGTAAAATGCAATTACCCTAAAAGACATTTCAAGATTCTCTCCACCCCAGATATCCATTCCTGCATCGTAAGTTCCTATCTCTTCAAAGTAGTTTCTGTCAATAGAAAATAGGCCACCAGCCATAGTAGGGGTCCTAGTTGAAAAAAAAAACAAAAAGAAAAGAATATCTTTTGAAAACAATGTGTGGAATTTCATGAGAGTAGCAAATATTTCTGAGACATTCTAAATTAAAAATAATAGTACTCAAAAATCTCAAACTGGAAACATAAAGCCAAGGTGAAAGAGGTTTTAAAATTAATAAATAGCATTGTATCATATTTTCTGTAAAACTAAATTTAGATTATCCTCTTTTTCTTACAGATTATCATAAGAACACATGGAAGGAACAGTGGGCACTTAAGTGGGGTACCTACATTCCTTCTCAAAGAAAAAGCAAAGTTAGTGCTCTCAGCATTGAATACTACACCTGCAGAGATCACTGGTCATGAAAATACCAGCTGTGAAGTTTTGTCATCTAATTATCAATTGTTTTCACGTGAGCTCCAGCAACTTGTGGATATGGTTTTTAAATGAAAAGATCTATAGCCTATTTACTTATAAAACTATTAAATGCTATAAAATGTTTATATACAATAAGTATCTAACAAGAATTACGGAAGTATTTTTAAACATTATTTTTACATCTAATCAATTAATCTGCATACATAATTAAAATAACTCAATCAATCAATAATACTGGGGAAACATAAATTCTATATGTTATTCGGAGGTTTAAAGTAAATTTGGCACAAATGCTAAAGCTTTTTTCTAGGAATAAATGCCTTTCGTTCTCCCATTCAAAATGTCTCTCTAGGAACTAAGAAGTCATTTTTTTTTAGTTTTAAATGGTTAATTAGTAAATTTTAAAAAATCATTAAAGCAATATTGAAGCGTTTCTATACAAGTGGGTAAATTGAAACTAAAAAAGAAAATTCTAGTTGTTCACAAGTGGATCTAGCTATACTGGCAATGATTATTTTTGAACTGTTAATTGTAGTGTAGTGGTTTTCAACCTTCTTAGCACATTAAGCAGAACCTGAGGCACAGTTTAAAAAATGCACTTCCATGCTCGGGTACCACTCTCCACAGATCAGATTTAATTAACAGGAGATGGGGCCAGACCTTGTATACTGTGTAACATACCCAAGATGATTGTAATGTGCTGTTGAAGATAAGAAACACTGATCTAGTAACTCACATTTGGAATGCTCATTTGAGAAGACTGAGGTTGGTTTGAAAAATGTTTTGCTTTTCTTGAAATTATATCTTCTTCTGCCACAGGGTACACTCATGTCCTCTAATTAAACCATATAGTTCAAAGAAAAAACACCAAATAATATTGCACTTGGGTAGCTACCATATTGCAAAGGCCCCAATTTCTCCCAGAGCTCTCACTGTTTTATACTCAGGTAATTAACTGCCCATCAGCTGGAGAAGCAACAGACTCACACAGTCTCAAAGCTGTTTTATTACTTCTGGTCTTGCTGGGTTCCTATCAGGAACAGTATCATTGACCCTCTGAGTTATAATGAGAAACACTAACAAAGTGAAACAGATGGTAATTATGGTAGCCACAGCCCTCACCTGACAGGAGTTTTGGAACTCCGTGGTAATAACTATATAAAGGATTACAGCGCTGGACAGCCTATTTAATGAAATGAGGAACAAAAACTGCTGCAATTATCCTATCATAATGCAACGGAGTGCTTAAGAATGTTAAATGATACATTTTTAATGATTAATTCAGAGTGCCTACCTGCTTATCTATTTACTAATAAAGTACCAATACATTAAAGTTAAATACATGTATTGATTTTCATCTTACATTTTGGTCATAATTCCCATAAATATGTAAGAAATGTATAATAAATTGCTACAATAAATGATATATTTAACCCTAAGAATGACTCATTTTGCTTATTCTTGAAAAGTAACAAAAATAAAATTAAAACTAAAATAAAAGCCTGCATTTCTGAGGAAATAGGATCCTAGATAGACTTTTCTGTCTTTTCAATGTCAGCTCTCAACTAGTTAATACCTACTAAATGATACCTACAGCCAAAGCCAGTGTTATGTAACATGCTCTGTTCTAAGTCAACTGTTCTGTATCATCCCTAATTAACAATTTATTTATGCCTGCGTAAACCTTAAGAGTTCAGGATGCCTAGAAAATTAAAAACCTGGTTATAGTTGAATTAGCTGAGACTATATGCTTTTTAAAATGTGTTTACACAATGTCAAACCAACCAACAAATTCAATTAATTTGGGGGAGGGGGGTAATCAGCTCAAAGGCTGTGAACATTACCTATCACACAGCAGGTAGGTGAAGATGAATTACTAGAAGAAAAGCATTTAGCACAGTGCCCAGCATATAATAAACAGTTAATAAGATCAGGTGATACATCTTTGTTGGTGGTAATTATTCAAAGAAAAGATTTGACTGTCCTTAATTTTAGCTTCCCATAAACACACCTTCCTTTTGAATTTCAAAGTCATTTGGGACTATTTCATATCTAAGATGGTGAACTCTGAAATCTGCCCCTCTGAACACAACTTTCTATTTTATAAGCCCTTCTATTGCAATCTGATGGAAGTCATTTTTTATTCTTCATTGGTGATTTTGGTTCCTTACCTATTCCATATTCTCACATAATAACCCCTTCAGGAATTGTTTTCTTGCTCCTACTGCCTTTCTAAGATTCAGCCATGTCAAGGAAAAACTGCCCAAGTGCCCCAGTTCTCCTTGCTTGCTTTATATAACCATTTTCTTTTCGTAAGTATCAGTATCTGGGTAAATGTACACTTTCCCTCATCTATTTCTGCTCCTGAGGCCACAGAATCATTGATAAAGTAATATGATGAGGTCAACTGGTCATACTGAAAATCCACATTATTGACTGTCCACAAACTGCTAGACATCCTTTTACCTATGCTCATTTACTTACTTGTCTCACTCTTAACTGAATCTTTGCCAAAGTTTGGGACTCTTCTCAAGAAACTGGAGATTAAATCAATGCATAAAATCTGAACTCCCTCACTCTCTACCTCTAGATCTCTCTAGAGAGATGATAGATAATAGATAGATAGATAGATAGATAGATAGATAGATAGATAGATAGATATAGATAGATGATAGATAGATAGATAGATAGATAGATAGATAGATAGATAGATAGATAGATAGATATAGATAGATCCATCTTCTTACAGACTCTCCTTTCCTCTTGCCTCAGAGAAAATAAAATCTCTTCTCTTTTTATGGACTAGCATTTACTCTTGTGCCCTCAGCTGGTTCTTTTTCTAACTACCCTTTCAGCCACTTGCTCATTGACTATTACATTTATGTTTCATGCCTTTGACTTCTAGATTGTCCCCTTGAGCTTAGCTGTTCAATTCAGTTCTATCCTAAATCAAGATATACCCTCATACCATCCTAGTCCTCATCCAAACTAGGAACATAATTTTCTATTTTTCTCTATGGTAACCTTATTGAAAGGATACTTTCTACACACTCCCTCAACTCCTCTTGACTTTCTAACTAGGGTCTGGATCTTGCTCCCACCTCTACAATAACCTCTTTCTAAAAGGGCCCCATTGGTTCTGAACTTCAATAGCCTTTTCTGAATTTCTTCCTTTGAAAACATTTAACACAATTCATCAACCTCTCTGATTAAAATTAATTTTACCTCAGTTACACCACTCTAGAGAAATTTTTCTTTTACCAACTAGGCTACTAATTTTATGATTCTTATCTAAGCCCTTCCTCTTCCCCTCCCTGGCTGCTTGTCAGAGCTTGGTCAAGGTCTTAGTTTCACATCTGCGACATGAGTACAATGTACAAGTTGTAATATTGTTTTCGAGAAATGTGCACTTAATAACTGTCTTCTTTTCCCCAAAATGTAGTACCCCCAAGGGTGTCTCGGTAGCACTTTTCTCTTTCTACACTCTTGGCCTGTTTCGGCTCATTTGTCATGTACTTTTAATTGTCACCTCTATGACTTTGACTCCTAATACTGTGTATCTTTTGTCACTTCCTCCCTCCGAATTGTACGCTTTTTCAATTACTCACTAGATGTTTTATTTTTTTTTAAATCCTCTGACTTTGCTCAGTGTGTTTATCACAGAACTGAGCACGTGCTGCTATCCCTTCCATATCTGCTTCTCTTTCCACGTCCTCTATTTCCTTCCAGAACCTCAATGGAAAAGGATGAAAACACTTTTCAGCACCTTTGTCTCTTGTGCCTCATTCAATAATTTCCCAAATGCTTCCATTTTTTCCAAAGCGCTCTTGACTCTTATCTCTGTTCTGTGGTATCATAGTCACTATCCAGTTTTAGTCTTCTTATTGCTAACTGTGTTAATGGAATTGCTTTTAGAGTCTGCTGCTTCCCAAATTTATTGTAAAAACTATGGCCAGATTAATTTCTCTAAATCAAAACTCCTCTTAAAATGTTAAGCAGATGTTCAAAAACCCATTTTAAGGGATAAATCCCAGTTTCTTATCCTGGCTTCAGGAATCTGGAGTACCCAATCAGTTCCTTCATTTGTTTTAACTGTTTCCTTGTAGTGTTCAGCTGTTTCTAGTAAATGTTTCACATTTTCTCACTTTGATGCATATACTTAAATCCATTTGTCACTCACATTTTCCTTTGTAAACTCCCCTTATATGTTCAAACCTGCTCTATTCTTAGGTCAAAGGAAAGAGTATATATTCTATGCAATCTGCCCTTAGTACAACCCTCCTCCCTCCAATCTGCGTATAATATCCTCTCCCTACTGTCTTCTACAGCACCTTGTTTCTGTCTCTCAAGGTACTCGTCACTGCTTATTAAATATAATATGCATGTCTATATAAATTCCACCACTACTGTAAGCATAGCCAATATATTAGTTGGATAGTATTAGACTATTAATAGACATTTATTGAATAAATAAATTTTTATTTTTTTAATTTATTTTTATAGAGAGAGGGAAAGGGAGGGAGAGAGAGGGAAAGAAACATCGATATGAGAGAGAAACATCAATTGGTTGCCTTTGGTACTTGCCCTGCCCAGAGACTGAACTCACAACCCAGGCATGCGCCTAGTCAACTG